CATTATTTGTTCTACAATTTATTAAAATTTAAGATCATTATATAGATTTATTTAATATTTTCTAAAAAAAATGAAAAAATGTAAAATAAATGGAAATGCGCTCAGTAAAGAAAACTATGATTAATGATTAGCTTTATTTTCTTCCTGCTAGTGTGTAAAAACCAGATTCTCAGGTTAATGGACACATAGTATTACGTTATGTTTGGATACTGAGTTTATCGTATTCATGATATTTTGCATAAAACATATTCACATTTATCTGCTTTTTCTATCAACTTTCCTGCTTCGCTTATGTAGTAATAAATCATTTCACATTACGTATTGAAATCCTTCTTCTTTAATCTTATCGACATATATTAAAATTTGATATATAATGAGAAGATGTATATAGATATTAATTATGTAAATATAATCGCATTTGAATGATATATTTTTTAAATTTTCTTTGAAATAAAATTATTGATTTAAACATCTTTGAGATGTTAAAAACATTTTTTTATAAAAAAAAAACTATGTAGCTAATGATAACAATTGTTTGAAAATCACTAAATCATTAAATAAAATATTAAAGAATATTAAAAGTAAATTATATTTATAAACTATATTTTATTAAGTTTGTTAACAGATTCTCACAAGATGGCTCAAATGTATGTCTTGATCGCATTACTGTCACAACTGCTTTTTACGCTAATACAAGGACAGCAATCTCCGTGTCCTCAATATTTCAGATATATACTCAAACCGGGAACAGACGAAACGATAGGACAGATTGAAATCCAATCTCCGCCAAAAGTTAGCGAACTCCGTTTGAAAGTGGGTTTAAAACTTACTGCTGAGTTGCCTACAGTATGTGTCTTTTTTTTTACATCTAATTTATGACTGTTAATGCAGACAATTTCTAATAATTTCATTCAAGTTGTGGCGGCTCAACAATGGTTAATAATTATTTCTCTAAAGTATATATTTCTGAAATAAAATTTAGCTTGAAGTCGTAACGTTTCTGCAAGTAGCGTCTTAAAGAAACAAGTTTTGCTTGATTTAAGAATCAAAATACATTTAAAAATGACTAAAATATAATTATATAAAAAAATTTTATGAAAAGAAGTTCATTTCTAGAAAGTAAATCAATCATTAATGTGTTTTAGAAAAATTATGGTCATCTAAAATTAGCACAATCGACCGAAGACTCTGCTCAAGCTGTTTTACAGGGCAGGAGTTTGTTATATCACATTTATTTCCCTTTACGTCAACCACTTCCAACATTGATCGCGATATGGTTCAATGGTAAAAAATATTGTACGGGTCTCGATGGTGAGTACCGTATTTGCTTGAAATATAATATACCATATATGTTCGAGAAAATAGAAGTAGACTTCATAGATATTCATTCTATCGAGTTGCAAATTAATTCTCATTTTATCTTATATTTATTGAGACGGCAAAGAAATAAATTCGAAGATCTCACTCTAAAAAGACGCGAGATTTAAATATCATATTTTGTTTCAGCAACAGAAGGTGTTATGACTACTACTATTACTACTATCACATTGGAACATGCTCTGTATCTGCCAAATATGCCTTCGCCAAATTCGCCACCGAATGAATCGCATCAGAACTCGACACCAAAACCGGAACAACAACAGAGTACTCCGAGGAAAGCCACCGTCCCTTCCTCTCAAAATGAATTACTAAATATGTTCCCGAATCAAGTCGGACAAATTTCGCAATATAATAATGACAATGTATTCCTGAAGAACCCGACCTCAGGTCAAGCAGCCTCACAATATGATATTAATCATAATAATATGTTTCTAAAGCCATTTATTATTAAAATTCCACTATATAGTAACAATAATAACACATTCTTGCGGCCAAATCAATCCTCTAGACCTCAGCCAAACCAGTCTCCAGCCAAACCAGTTCCGCAACATAATAATAATAATAATAATAATAATAATAATAATAATAATAATAATAATAATAATAATAATAAGAATAATAATAAGAATAATAATAATATCAACAATAATAATGAATGTGGCATCAGCAGCCGCTCTGGAAATGCAAATCTTTTGATTTCTAATGGGCAGGAAACATTGCCTGGCGAATGGCCGTGGTTAGTGGCAATTTTCCTCGTTACACATAAATATGAATTTCAATGCGCTGGAACCATTCTGACAAATAAACATGTCCTAACAGGTAAATTAATAAAAGAAAAAAATCATACGTTCAATAACATAAACTTCTTATACTATCTTTGCTTTCTTTCTTGGATCGTAGAATTTATTTGTACTTATTCAATTCTCGTAATAAAATTTAATTTTATAAATTTCCACAGATATTCACAGTTAATCTAAATATAATCGAGAAAAAACACATAAAAATATTTAAAATGCTTAATTGTTCATCACATATTTTGATGTTACAGAGAGTTTTTGTAATTCTGTATATTTTGACTAAATAATGTAACTTTGTTCATCGTATGGACACATGATATTGCAAAAATTCCCTATTATTTTTGTATTTTATATCATTAATAAGAAATGCAAGCAAATACCTGGAGAATTTCTCTGCAATATACACGCTCGTGTACTCTTTAGTTTTGTATCTCTCGATAGAGAATGTGGATTATTAAAAAAAATGTGATATTCATGCATATATTTTCTTTTTAGCGGGGCATTGTGTGAAGAACCATGAAAGCAACGAAACTATACCTCCTAATGTATTGGCTGTGGCATTGGGGCGATTTAATTTATTCGGATTTCGCGAGGTAGGAACCGTGAATCGGGAAGTTGCAAGTTACACGATTCATCCCGATTATACGCATAGCATCTCCAGCGATTCCGATCTGGCGATTTTAAATCTTAGAGAACCTGTGGAATATAACTATTTCATCAAACCTATTTGTCTGTGGTCCGGTTCATCTGATCTTCACAACATCATCAGTAGAAGGGGATACGTCGTGGGTTGGGGCAAAGACGAATTCGGTCATGATCACACCGATCATCCACGGATGGCGATAATGCCGATAGTCAGTCTGGTAAGAACTTTTAAGATTCTTTTTAAACGAGAATTTTTCGTAAATTTTGCTATTTGATTGGTATACAAATTGGATCAAGATTCTCTAAACGAAACGTCCAAAAAGTAAAAAAATTGACAGATTACAATAAAATCGAGATATTTAGATTATTATATATATATATATATATGTTCCGAGACATTAATATGAAAAACATCGAGTTGGATTTCGCGCCTTTTAAAACAAAACTTTGCAAATGATAAAGATTCATCATTGTTACATAAATTATAGGAGATCTGTCACTGGAATTCCCCAAGTTTCGTCACACTCACCTCGAATCGTACCTTTTGCGCGGGTATGCGAGATGGGAGCGCTCCTTGCAATGGTGACAGTGGAACCGCACTTGTACTTTTCGATAATACCACAGACCGTTATATATTGCGTGGTGTTGTTTCACGAACAGTGTGGAGCCATGAACCAACATGTGATCTCACGAAGTACACCGTCTTTGTCGACGTGGCTAAATATCTAGTTTGGATTCAACAGCAGATATCCACAACGTAATAATAGTTTCTTATTTCAAAATGCAAAATATGCTAGACAACACTTTACGTAAAATTTATTTGCTACAACACAGGCCGGTTGTTTCACCTTTTGGTAAATTTTACCTATTAGATAAATCTGGCAATCCACGCATGTGATTGGGTAATCTTGCTACTTACCCAATAGGTAAAATTTATCAAAAGGTGGCACAATCGATCCTTAAGGAAGCATTGACAAATGCATACTACTTAAACTATGTTTTTATTATATTTTCTATTACTGATTTGTACACGAATAAACATTGGAAATTGTAGTTTAATATTTTAGATCTATTTATTACATATTTCACTTTTTACCAGTAACAATAATTAAAAGTATAGAAAAGCATAGAATGGCTCAAATAATATAAAAATAAAATTAAATTTTTTGTAAGTCTTTCTCTATAACATATTGTAAAAAGTACAGTTTAAATAACCGATTATCTGTAAGTTTTCTAAATCATTCTCCTTTAAAAATAATTAATATTCTAGTAAAAATAACTAAAAATATAAGATTAATAAAAAATTATTAATCAACATTATTATATTTAACAATTAACTATTGCCTAGTTTTATAAAAAGAATCAGTATTTAATAATTAATCAATAACAACGAAAAGACAAGAACGTAAAAAAAAAACTGGTTTAAATTTATTTTTGCATTTTATTTTGAAATTTTTATCTATATCAATATATACTAATTTTATTATTGTCAATTATCAGTCTTATCTTATAGAACGATTTAGGAAACCTGACATATTTATAAAAATTAT